AACCAGCTGAACATGAGAGGTTTTTGGACCAATTTTGTGTTCTCCATTCTTTAAGCACCGGTTTGAGCACCGTTTAAGCACCGGCACCGTTTCAAAAGTACCGATTTGGCACCGGTATCGGATAAAACCTAAACGATACACATCCCTACTTACCACACACATATTTTTATTACAGAAAGCTCATCAGGTTCTTATACCCAACGACTTGAGTCTTTTAGAAAATAAAAATGGGGAGGATCTCACCAGGGGATCCACTTGCCCAGTTAGGAGGTCACGGCCCTGAGTGTGCCGACTACCACGGTTGCCTTCACCTCTACATCTTCTCGAGCTCCTCTCTCAGCCCTTATGTTCCTTCTTCCTGCTGTTGCTATCACGTGGTATAGCTATTATATCTATTACTACACCCTTCTTCCTCTGCTTGTCCACCACTACTACTATGTCCGGTTGGTTAGCCATCACCAGTTTGCCCATCTGGATCTGCAAGTCCCACAGAATCTTAGTCTGGTTATTCTCAGCTACCCTCGGAAGGGGTATCTAATTTCGACCTCTGGACTTCCACGCCATGCTCAGCAGAGATTACACATGTTCCTACATATTGCTGCTCTATGACATCCACACTTTTACACAAATCTCCCTCATGCACCTCCAGCCTAAACATCCTGTGTGAATTGTCATATCTCTCACTATTGCAATAAAGAAAAAAATTACCTCTATGTTGAGCAGCCATGTCTGCAGGTTGGCCACAGCTTCCTCTCCCATTGCAAGGTTCCAGATGACCACATACAAAGCCTTATCAGTAAAGAAACACTGGTTCACTGTGGACATGCTGGCCTGACCACCAATGTCCCACACATTGAAAATCACAGAGTCTTTCTGTGGGCAGCAAAATGAGATCTAGGTCAACTTTAAAGCATGAACTGAATTTGAGAATAGGTGATGATGTATTTTTGTACCCACCCCAACCCCTTTGGTTTAACAGTCCAAAGAATTTCTTGTCATGTCAGAAATGATTTTCTTTCATGGTAGTGTTTAAGCTAATCATAGCACAGTATGAATCCTTCTCCACAAAGATGCAAACTGACTTTGAGTGGAGAGATGTTTGTCCTTGCTTAAGAGCGTAATCGAGTAGTTGCAGGGGTCCCTGACCACAGTGCACTATGTAGATTCTTTTATCTCTAAAATTTAGACCATATAAGGGTCATAAAATGATTAATAGAAATATCTGTGTGTGCGTGCATAAATACTACGTAATGTCTGTTTCCCTCACTTTGTTCTTGCCTCCACTAGGTTTATCCAGCTCCCAGACAGAGGTGGAGATGCTACATTCTGCTGGGGTGAAGGGGGAGGCTTTGCCAGTCTGCAGAGCCTCGAGGAGGGCTGACTTGCCCTGCCGTGGTGGACCAATCACCAGCATCTTTAACAGTTTACAACGCTCTGCTTTTCGAAGCTGTGCCCGGAGGAAAGCCAGGACCGATGCAGGACCTGCGAAACCAGTGTTAGAGAATATGATCACATCTCACAATGACAGGAAATAACAGCTGGCAACAAACCCAGCACACTTCAATTTACTTTTAAATGCAATGCTTAGAACTTATGCTAACTTTTTTAATTGTTCATGTACATTTTTTAAAAAAGTAATTTTTTACTCCTTGCATGTGTTTGTAAGGCAATATATGATGAGGTAAGAACCAATATAAATGTTATGAACAACAGACTATAAACAAAAAAACAAAAAAAGAAGCCGGCACATACAAACCCCTCGATTAGGCACAGTCATTGAACAGAAAATGCAGGTGGAAATACCTTCTTTTCTTATTTCATGTGGAACATTAGTAATGTTGAGGTCTTCGATGTCCAGCTGCCACAGACTGGAGAGCTGACCAAGCTCTGTTGGAAGCTCCCGGATTCCAGGATTACTGATTCCAGAGAAACTACATTAGTCAGATTAGTCATATACACACATATATATACACATGCATACGTATATAAATGTGTAGATAGATAGATGAGAAACATCAACGATAGAACCTAATGGGCCACTGAATCCCCCTGTGAAAGTCCAAATATATAGAAAAAACATTCTTCAGAATAAATGACATTGAGAAATTTGCTGTTTGGATGAAACAACTAGAAACAGCTGTAGGAGGAGAACTGGATTCATGTGTGGAGCAAAAAGAGGGCAACACAAATGCTACGGCAAGGAGGAGTCAGGACGCCAGG